AGGTCTCTCGTTGGGCGCGTGTATATTTCTTATGCTCACTGGTTCTTGGTCTACTGTTCCCTTGAGCATTATATAGTGCCCCTCCTTGTCTCTTGTTATGGCTTGTACCTTGAGATCAATTTTGTCAGAGATTAAGATTGCGACCCCTGCGTTTTTTGCGTTGCCATTTGCTTGGAATATTTTTCTCCAGCTTTTAATTCTCAGCCTGTTGTTGTCTGTGAGCTTGAGATGTGTCTCCTGTAGGCAGCAGACTGCACACTGATGGGTTAACCTTCAGCAGTTTAAACAGGTCTTTTGTAGCAGATTTGCCCAACACATCCAAGATGTCATGTGATTTCTTGACTGCTGATTGCATGACTCCGAGCAAAAGGAGATGGTTGGCCAATCTTTTCTCCGTTTTTCATGATGTTGTCTATTGGTTCAGTGGTGAGGACCCTAACTTTCTTCAAATTGAGTTATAATCTCTACTCCCCATAATGAAAGCTGGAGAATTTTATCTTAATTAGTAAGTGTTTTTAGTCCTCTTAGCGTTCGGCAGCAAGGTTATCAATGGCCATTCTCTAATCCTGATGCCGTGTTCACCTTCAGATCGTCCACCTCCTCGGATGATTTGCTCTGGGAAAAGACTGAAGAAGTACAGTGAAAGAACACAGCCCCAACACACAACTTTCCTGACTTTTAAACCATTCCATTAGCACTTGCTCTGTTTGAAGGATTACCTCTTATTCCGTGTACAGGTTTCGAGTGAGCCTCGTGAGGGCTCTGGGGTTCTCATTCTTCACAAGGGTATATCCAGAATTATTTGCTGTGATTCACACCGCTGAATCCCTTGCATTGTCAATAAAACACAAGTCAATTTCTTCCTGAATATTCTCTGCTTCTAGTCAAGATCCGCCCATCAGCAGTGATCCCCTTATTCCACATCCTCTTTTGAATGAAGCTGGAATTTATGGCAGCTCCCTGTCCATATCCTCAAACTCGGTAATATCAGTTGACTTATCTCCACTGGTTATTTCTCTTGACATGTCAAATCTGATGTTAAATCCTTCTAGCTGATTTTTCATTTCTGTTCATAGATTTTTCAATGCCAGACTTTAAAAAAAGACTAATTTCTCTCTCTTGATAGTCTCTCTTTAATGAGACATCGTTTTCATACTGTATTTTAAAAAGCCTCAAAACATTATTTTCTTGCATGTTTAGAACATACTTCTAATAACACATTTGAAGTCTTCATGTCGTAAGTCCAATCTCTGGCTTCTTCGGGAGCTATTATCATCGATGGTGTATTTCTGCAGCCGTGCAAGGATAGTTTCTTTTAGAATCAGCACAAGCTTGTCCCAATGAGGTGAAGGTTAACAATATCATGAATGTCCGACTTTCCAAGTGCTGTACCACTCTATCGTCTGATAACAACTACTGCTATCCCTCAAGACTCACCCTCAGGTCTCAGGGCTCCATAATCTGCTGCATGGTCTCACAGAAATAGTGCTCACTCCGTTGTGGACACTGGAAAGTTCCAAACCCGTAAATCTGCTGTTAGTCTAGAGCAGAGATCAGCAAACTCTGAGAGGGACAAGCCCATCCTGTCCCTCACAACAAGGTCTCACTTTGCTTGGTTACAGAGATGCAAAAGGCTGGCTGTGAAGGAAGCTGCTATTGGGTTGGCCCGAGCAGATGGCTTTCCCAATCATGGGTCGGAAGTCTTTCAGAGTGGTCACTGACAACTGATGGGTGTTTGTCAGCTGACTCGCCCAAGAACTAGTTTTCTGTCCATCCTCCAGTCAGGAAATCTGGGTAGGGGAGGGGGGAGGGGGGAACGAGGTCACAAAGATAGGGTTTCGCCCATGTCTGGGGCTTTGATGGAGGTGTGTTTTCAGGCTTGTGAGGGCAGTCAGCCAGATTGAGATATAATGGTCATGACTGCATGTATTAGTGGATCAGTCTCAGCCTGTCCTATGACCCCAGCCTCTGGCTGTTCTTACATAAACAGGAAGCTAAGGGCTTGCCTAATAAGAGAACAGCTGAAAGCAGGGAGTACGTTCTATCAAAGAAGACGACTGATTTACAAACCACACCCGCCAAGAACATTAAGGGCAGTGACTTACGTTGCACTGCCTAGTCAGGCAGGGACTCCAGACCAATTCCACCTTAACCACGCCTCATTATCATAATAGACCTCTCACTCCCTAATGGAACTTCCCCATAGGTGCAAAGGCTGGAATGTACAACACAGCACCAAAGAGATACAGGCCTGTGGCTAGAAAAACTGTGTTAAGCAATTCACCGCATCTCAGTATGGATCCAATGCCTCTGTTACTTTGTGTGCTGGGTCGCTTTCTGTTGAAAACTGTGCCTTTTTTATAGTAGCATGCGGCAGCTCTGGAAATAAGATTTCCCCCCTCCCCAGGCTTTGTGTGTTTGCTTTATTGTTGCTCTTTGTTATTGGTGGTGGTGGTGGTGGTGGTGGTGGTTTATTTGATTGATGATTTTTCTGGATGTGTCATGTTAAGTCTGTTATGTATCCTGTGTGGCCGTGGAAGCCTGCTCAGCTTGCTAAGTGTTCAGATCATGAATGCACAGACAGCTCCTGAAGTGTTCTGAACCAAGAAGTCTCTGCCTTTGTGGGAGATTGTGTGTGGGCTTTCAGCACGTCTTGAAAGCCCAGCTGCCTCAGCCTGTCCTCCCTGCTTGTCCAGAGCTTCGCCATCAGCCAGTGGGCAAAGATCAAGTCCCCTCGGGTTTTTCCTGGGCATACACACATCCCTTCACACGCATGTGACCTTCAAAGTTTCCAAGGATGTACTGAAGGTTTCCAATACCCCCTATGGGCATCGCAGCCTCTTGTTAGTCCCAATTGGTGTTTCTGCCTCAGGCAGCTGTGTCGTCTCCAGGGCTTCTTAACTACTCCCCCAAACCTTGCTCTCATGGAGGGTGTTCATGCCAGCCAGGGGAAGGGGAGGAGATAGGGCCTCCCCACACCTCTCTGGGCAGTCTGTCCATCCCTTCCTCCTTCCATCTGGCAGCTGCTCTCCCACGGTGACTGTGCCCTTCAGGGAGCTCAGCTGTAGGGAAGAAAGAGTGGGCAGGGAGTCCCAGAGCTGGTTGTAAAGCCTGGCTGACTGTGGGAAACGATTCCCTTCATACGGGAATGAGGGAAAGGTTGCAATCTCATGGCATTGTCACAGTCAGTTCTAGAAAAGCAGCGAGCACACCGGATCCTCCGAAGCGTCCTTTCTCAACACACAGTGTTTTCCTTTCTTCCTTTGCGATGATAGGGCCCTGCCCCTTACCGCTGTCTCGAGCGGCTTCTTTGAAAAGCTAGGATACACCTGTCTTCTGAGCTTCTAAACTCCCTTATCTTCTTCTCCCCTCCCCCCAGCCCCACCCTCCCTAAGATAACCTCCACCTTGACATTTCTTCAGCATCTTCTGGTTGTCGTAGGAGTGATCGTACGATTTTCCCTATTGCTTTGAATTCATGTTCCCCAGCTCACCGATGTAAAGGGCTTTCTGAAAGCCCAGCTCAGTGGCTCTCAAGTAGAATGGGCACCAGAGCCACAAAGGGAGCTTGTGCATTGCGTAGCCCCGGGCCTCTGGCAGATCTGAAGCACTGGCTTAGGGTAGGCCTCACCAGGAGCCCTAGTGGCATAGAGGTTACGAGTCAGGCTGTGACCCGCAAAGTGGACAGTTTGAAACCTCTAGCCACTTTTCAGGAAAAAGATGAGGCTCTCATGTAAACAGTCAGTCTCAGAAACTCGCACTCGGTTCCATGCTGCCCCAGAGGGCTGCTATAAGTGCTATAACTGGCAAACCCCACTGAGAAAACCAGAACACAGGCTAGCCTTTGTCATTGAATCCAATCCTGGAGTGGAAAAAACAATGATAACGATTTAAATTTAAATGATAGCAATTGATCCTAACAGTGGGCGTGCGATCTCTTCAAATAAGAAAGACTCTGTAATCCCCATGAGATATGTTGCAGGAGGCACCCCATAGGACCAAACCCGTTGCCACTGGATCAGTTTCGACTCTTAGAGACCCAAGAGGCTAGATCTGCTCCATATGGGTTCCCAAAGCACCCTGGTAGCAGAGGGGTTTCCATGCTGGGCTATGAACCACAGGGTCAGCAGTTCCAACCCACCAGCATCTCCTCAGAAGAAAGGTGAGGCTGTCGGTTCCCATAAAGCGTACAGTCTGGGGACCCCCAGGGGAAGTTCGACTCTGCAGTCGGGGTCACTAGGAATCAGAATGGACTGGTTGGCAGTGACGTCGGGCTTCCAAGGTTGTCGTCTTTATGGAAGCAAAGGCTTCTGATTTCTCCCCCGAAGCAGCTGGTGGGTTCTGAACCACCAACCTTTCGGTTAACAACCTAGTACTTAACCACTGCACCACCAGGTCCTGGTTAAAGAAGAGTCTCCTGAAATTCACTGCCATTGAGCCGATGGCAACTTCTCAAGAGCCTGACAGCCAGGGGAGAACTTCTCCTGTGGATTTCCAATACGGCAACTCTTCACAAGAGTAGAAAGCCTCGTCTGTCTCCCGGGGAGTGGCTGGTGGCTTTGAACTGCTGACTGTGTGGTTAGCAGTCCACCTCATAACCACTACACCACCAGTGCTCCATTAAAGAAGACGAGACAGATTAAAAAGTCGAGTAGGGCCCAGGAAGACAGGAAAGGAGAGCTCTCAGGATGCCCCGGGGCTACTAGAATGAAGACAAGAGGAGGGGTACCAGAGTCCCAGGAGAGCGGGCAGACCCAGGTTTGCATCTCTCCCAGATCTAGGAATGTTGTGTGTGACTGTGGAAGCCCCTGCCGGTCCCAGTTGCTCTGCCTCAGGCTCCTGGTGGAGCTTCACTGGGTGAAGACAGATCCCGGCAGACAGGCCTCTGAGGAAGCGCAGGGCACCCCGGGCAGGCAGGAAGAGCCCCGGGTGACTGCGGTCAGCCACCAGAGGGGAGACGCTGCAGTGCTGACTTGGCCCGTGTGCTCTTTGCCCTCGCAGGGCTGCCCAGGACGGAGGTGGCCCCCTCCTTCTCCAGCATCCCAAAGGACTGCAGCATCGTCGAGGGCCAGGACCTTGTGCTGCAGTGCTCTGTGCTGGGGACACCAGTGCCCCAAATCACCTGGCTGCTCAATGGTGAGTCCCTCTTCAACGCCGCTGTTGCAGCACAAAGCAGCTGTAGATCATAAGTAAATGAGTGAGCATGTCTGTTTTGCCTTAAGACTTTATTTATGGGCACTGAAGCGTTGTTGTTTTTTAATTTCACACAACTGTCACACCTCATGTAAGGTCCTTTTTAATTTCTCCCAGTCATTTAGAAGTGTGAAACTATCATTAGCTGACGGGCCATACAAAATCAGGCCTGTATCACATTTTGCCTACAAGCCATAGTTTGCTGTCCCTGGTCTAAACCGTTCGAAACTTTGGAAAGCCTCCGGCCCTTACTCTCTACGAATCTTAGCGTTTCTATGTCCCTCCCAGGAGAGGGCGCCCGTGTTCAGCTTGGGTTTCCTTGTCTTCCAACTCTGGACGGGTTTCTTCCAATCCTGCTGTACCAGGACCCCACAGGTGCCTTTCTGGGACCACTAGTCCATCCCAGGTTTGGGGGCCAAAGCGAGTTATACGTCAGTAAAAGGAGAGCCCTCAAAAACACTTGTCAGTGCATGTGTTGACAGTGTCCCTTGCCCTCCTGAGTTCTAAATGCCTCCCCTTTCCCTGCCTCCTTCCAGTCCCAGCCATGCTCCTCTGCCTCCCTTTCCGTCATCACCCTAGCGTATGTCTTCATCCAGGATGTGTCCTGCCTGACTGGGCAGCCGGCTGACCTCTTAGGGAGCCCCTGCTGGGCGATGCTGAGCCCGGCTTCAAGGCCCCTGTGCTTCCCCCCACAGAGCGGCCCATCCAGTATGCTCACTCCACCTGCCAGGCCGGCGTGGCCAAGCTCCACATCCAGGACGCCCTGCCGGAGGACCGTGGCATCTACACCTGCCTAGCGGAGAACGCCCTGGGCCAGGCATCCTGCAGCGCCCGGGTCACTGTCCACGGTAGGAGCCTCTGGAAGTGCCTCTCCTGTGACACAACCACTTGGGGGCTGGGACACTGTCCGGAAGACAGCAGACAGAGGAAGGGGCCTAAGGAGTTCAAGGGACAGCTATGTGCTGTGTCTTGTCAGCTGCAATGTCTCCCTGGGAGTGAGTGTGTGTCCTGCTTCCAGTGAGCTATGTATCTCCTTAGCGTCTCCAAAGGAGGTCATCAAGCTACGACCTGATTGACAGGTAGACTCCACCCCTTCACTCTTAGTCCTCTCACATTGACACCAGATGATGTAACTACCACACTGGGTAACAAAGTGTGGGTATCAGGCATCTTATACCCCACACCCCGGGGTTGCTTTGCAGCCTGGTGTCTCAGTAACCGGATTACCAGGGACATCTACCAACCAGCCCAAGCACTTATTCCTAGGAAAACCCAGACAGACAGCCCTCTGGGCTGTGCCACTGGCAGCATGAGGGAAGTGCCCAGGGTCATGCTGCTGGGGTCCAGGCCTCTCTAGTCAGCTTGACTGACCCCCTCACCCTGAACAGGGCTCCAGGCCCCTGCAGGGCTGCCTCTTCTGCAGGGAGGGACTGGGCGGGTGCTCTGCTTCATCCAACACAGGCCTCTTCTCTGCTCCCGGGGCTCAGGCCCCTCGGAGAGGGAGGCCCTCCCCCTGTCCCCACCCACCTCGAGTAGAAGGAGCAGTCGCTTCTGGGAGGCTGCGAAGAGATGGTTTCACTGGAAAGGGAAAGGCAAAAGAGCATCTGCAGGTTACGGGGTTCAATACTTTCGTCTCAGCTGTATATACTGTCTTCTTTTAGCCCCACCTGGGGTATGGGGTGGGGGGGGACGCTGTGCCATTGTCCACGTAAGGGCCTGAGGTCGCAGAAGTTATCACCTGAGCACATCAAGCCAGTACAGAGGCCGGCCTGGGCACACAGGGCCTTGTGGCAGTGTAGCCTGCACCCCCCCTGGCGCCTTGCCCTGGTTTTGCTTGCCCATCCTCGGGAGGCAGGTGCCCGTGGCCTGGGACATGCCCATCTCTTTGGGATAAAGGGATTGCACAGATAGAGAACATGGTCCCTGGAGCTCTCTGCCAGGAGTAGGCACACTCCCTGCACCTCCTGGCTTCTCTGAAGCGTGTCGTGCAGGAAGGCCCTCCACTCGGGTCAGAGCCAGCCTGTGGCCCCGGGACTTGCGTAGTCAGCCAGCACCCCGTTTTATCTCCTCACCGTTGCAATTTCACGGCTCACCGAAGGGCCTCAGGCACGGCGGTGGAAAGATCTAAGAGGACAACTTGGAGAGTCTCTCTGGAGCTAGGGCAGCAGCTCACCCCCCACATGCTTTCCACAGGGGTCCTGGGTGGTGACCTGCGTGGCCCACCCTAGAGCCCAGTGCTTGGCAGAGAGGGTCAGAATGGCAGACGGGGCCACAACACGAGGCCTCGTTTTCTGAGCTGCAGCCCACAGCCCAGCAGATCCGGTGCCGGCCGTCGGCTGCCTGTGCTAAGATTGGGTTCGGGAGACAGGGTTGAGCGGTGGTCCGTCAAGGTGGGGGGTCCCAGAGGAAGGACGGGAAGTACTGAGGCCTCTCTCCTGCCCTCTGGGATAATGGGCAGGGGGGACGTTGGCATGATGGTCCATGCGCATGTGTTTTAAAGCAGAAAAACAGTGGAACTCAGCCAGGACTGTGTGGCTTTACGCCCTGCGTGGGTGAGAACTCCTCCCGGTGTGGAGGCCGGGATGGATTCATGGGCCTGCAAAGGCTCAGACACCGCGCAGGTGAGGGCAGCTGAGCCCCGCAGCCTGAGGCCTTCTCCGACACCGGACGGGGGCAGGCAGCCTGGCTTGGTGACCCCCACCCCCAGCAGCTTGCCCCCTCCGCACTTGTAAACTCGCTGTGGGCAGGGGCCTTGTCTTGCTCTGTGCTGCTCGTAGGACCGGCTCTCTGTGCCGGAATGGCAGCACTCAGAGGTCCGGGTGCGTCCCTAGGAACACTCTCAGCTTCCTAGCCTGGAGGCTCCATGCTCTTTCCGGGAGTTCGACAGCGCCCCCTCTTTTCCTCCCCTCACTCAGCTGTTGCTGAGCACCAGCCATTGAGTGTGCCCTGACTCACAGGGACCCCCACATGACAGAACTCCCCACAGGGTTTCCTGGGCTGTGATCTTCAGGGAGCAGAGTCGGGCCTATCTCACACGGGCTTGCTGGCTGAGTCCAAACCACCAACCTTTCAGTTAGCAGCCTGGCATTGAACTGCTCAACCGCCATCGGTCCTTTCCCCCAGGACTAATGAAAACCCACTGCCATCGAGTCAAGGAGCCCTGGTGGTCTACTAGTTCCATGCGGAGCTAATAACTGCAAGGTCAGCAGTTCAAAACCACCAGCCACTCTGCAGGAGAAAGACTGGGCTTTCTACGCCTGTAAGGAGCGAGAGTCTTGGGAGCCCACAGGGGCAGTTCGACCCTGCCCTCTAGGGTCACTGGGAGTCAGCGTGGACTGGACGGTAGGGAGTTGGGCCTGTTTGTTTGGGGAGTGTGGTCATCATGTCCATTCCAACTCACAGCAGTGTAGAACAGGACAGGGCAGAACTGGCCCACAGGGTCCCCAAAGCTGTAATTCTTTTTATGTTTAATCATTTTATTAGGGGCTCGTACAACTTTTACCACAATCCATCCATCCATCCATTGTGTCAAGCACAGTTGTACATTTGTTCCCATCCTCATTCTCGAAACATTTGCTTTCTACTTGAACCCTTGGAATCAGCTCCTCATTTTTTTCACTTCCCTCCTCGCTCCTCCCTCCCTCATGAACCCTTGATAGTTGGTAAATTATTATTATTTTGTCATATCTTACCCACTCCCTTCACCCACTTCTCTGTTGTCCATCCCCCAGGGAGGAGGTTATATGTAGATCCTTGTAACCGGTTCCCCCTTTCCACCCCACCCTCCCTCCACCCTCCTGGTATTGCCCCTCTCAGCACTGGTCCTGAAGGGATCATCCGCCCTGGATTCCCTGTGTTTC